TTTTTTTGACAAGGTCTTGCTCTGTCTCCTGGGCTACAGTGCAGTGGAGTCATCATAGCTCACTGCAACCTCAAACTCCTGGGCTCAAAGAGATCCTCCTGCCTCAGCCTCTCAAGTAGCTGGGACTACAGGTGCGCACCACCATGCCTGGAAAGATTTCTTTTAACTCTAAGATTCTCTTATTCTATAAGATGCAAATTAACAAGTAACTGTCAACTCATGAAGAGCAAGTGAGTTTAAAAGCAAATGAACAGCACCATGATAAAGGTTAATCTAAAATAAATGATCAGTGCCTGAGTGATTAAATTCAAAACTTAAAAAAAATTCTGAAGTGTGTTTAATTTAAATATCAGCTTTCCTCTGGATACTTCTTGATATTGGGTCTATTTCCCTCTCAAGACAAAGTTAGTTTTAGGTACACTAAATGTTAATTATTCAACTTAATTATTCAACTGCATAATTATTATTTCTAAAATATTAGTTGAAATATAATTTCTTCTAGATATTTCTTTTAAACTAAAAATACAAAATAGACTTTCTTAAAAGGACTCAAAAGTAAGCCTTCAATAATTTCTAAATCAGAGGTTGAGGGCAATATTTTGAGGTGACTTGGAGAAAGTAAATCAGTACTTTAGAATGAGTTTATTTGCCATGCCTAGCTGCAAGACTGGCTAAGTCACTTAGGAAATTATGTCCACTTACCTACCAATTAAAAGTCAGGGCACCATCAATGATGTAGAATAAACTAAAAAGCACTGTAATCCAAAATACTTACATATATAATACTATTTTTCATAGTCACAATGCCTTGGGATAATCAGCTTTCTTTTCAGATCAGGAATCTTGAAATTTATTATTTTAAGATGTTAAAGTTACATAAATGTTAGAAGCATATTTCTTTGGAACTCTTCAGTGTTTTCCCTTATTTTATAATAAACATAGTTCTGAACACATACATAAATGGTTAACTGAAGACTTCAGCAGATGTGCTTTATTATTTACAATGAATCCGACCCATGCGAAAACTCAAATTTAAAACTAAAACACAGAATCAGTATAATAAATTAAAAATATAATGATTACAAATTAAACATGTTAGGTGCTATTAAGTTATACTATTATGCCATATTTTAAATGAAAAGAAGTTGAAGTAACTCTGAGAGGTAGATGAAGTTCCATAAATCTGAAGTGTAATTCTTTTTGTATAACTTCAAAAAAACTCATGACTGGTTCTCAAGTAAACAAAGAACATAAGTCATAAACTCTTGTTACCAAGTCCCTTAAGCCTTTTTCAAATGCGTCACAGGATATTCAACCCCTTCAGTTCTTTTTAATCTTCATCCCCAAGGTATTGTCCATATGGTACACAGTCAACATGCTGGAACAAAAATACATATTACACAAACCA